AGCCCCTCCAGGTCCTTCAGGGAGGGAGGGGCCCAACCCTGACCCCAGCATTTGAGGGGCGGCCCCCCCAGTGCCCAGCACGGGGGCACGGTCCCTGCCCTGCTCCTGCTGGCCACACCACTCCTGATACAAGCCAGGATGCCGCTGGCCCTCTTGGCCACCTGGGCACACCTGTTGACCAGGTCATTGCGGTTTCTCTCAAATGTGCCTCTTGTAGCGCTGTGTACAGCTGGAGCTACCTGAATGGTGTCGAGTAAAATCATAGAATGACAGAATGGTTTGGGTCGGAAAGGACCTTTGAAGATCCTCTAGTCCAACCCTCCCATGGGCAGGGACATCTTTCATTAGATCAGGTTGCTCAAAGCCTTGTCCAACCCAACCTTGACCACTTTTAATGATGAGCTGTCCACTACTTCTCTGGGCAACATTGCCCACCATCTCACCACCCTCATAGTAAAACATTTCTTCCTTACGTCCAGTCTAAATCTACCCAGTTTTGATTTAAAACTATTGCCCTTTATTCTGTCACTACAGGACAAGTAAAAAGTCCAACCCCACCTTTCCTATGGGCCCCCTTTAAGCCCTTTAAGCAATCAGGTCTCCCCGCAGCCTTCTCTTCTCCAGGCTGAACACCCCCAACTCTCCCAGCCTTTCTTCACAGCAGAGGTGTTCCAGCCCTCAGGCCATTCTCATGGCCTCCTCTGGACCTGCTCCAACAGGTCTATGTTAAAACAGGTCCATAAAATAACTTCCCCTGACCATCCCTTCCTGCTGGTGCCAGCGCAATGGAAGGTGTGGTGGGGCACCTTCAGTGCCAGCAAAGCCCTGCAGCCTCCTGCAGGAGAGCCGCGGTGCTTCAACCCGGCCGAGCTGATCTGAGTTGGAGTAGAGCTGAAGCAAAGCTGTGGGGGCGGGGATGGCTGTCGGGCCAAGGACCGTGTGCCATCGCAGCTACTCATCACCAGGTCCTGGTGGGAATGGCAAGTGTTGGCTTGGGCTCCCGAGCCAGAGATCAAGGACTGAGCCGCCCTACATGGCCATTCATCTGACTTTTGCTTAAAGGTCTCCCCATACTGGATTGGCCACACTTTCAGAGACATGCCTGGGAGGTTTCTTCAAGGCCTTTCTTTACCCATCGCCTGAGCTCCTGCAGGCTTCCCCGAGCCTCTGCTGTCTCCCCAGGCCTCCTGTCTATAACACCTCCCAATGCTTTTTATTTTGTCTTCTCTTAACCCACTTCTAATCATTGCCTTTTTATTTTGCTTCTTCTTTTGTCCCTTTCTCCTGGGGCTTTATCTCCACTCCCCATGAACAGCTACCTGGCCCCTTGATGATCTTGCCAGGCACTTTCTATGGCAAGAACTCTTGCTGCTTTGTTCGTGGCTTGCCAGAGGCATGTTCAGCCCCCCTGGGGCCACCAGCAGGAGGACTTTGGTGCATTGGGGGGGATCCGATTTAGCCTGTACAGCCACGCAGCTTCCTCCAGCAGCCGGCAAACCCAACAGAAGAGTTTTGGCCCCCCTGTGCTGTATGAAAAGAGCCTGTGAAATCATATAGGGTTGTCTCTTGAAGGTGCCCTTTGGAAAAAACTCCCGCCGATGGTGTTCAGCTCGGGTTTGTAGTTAACACACTGGGCCTGCCGTACAAAGCTGTGCCGGACCGCGGGCTGGAAAAGCCCTCTTAGGTCCCAGCTAATCCGTCCCCCCTGCCAGCCTGGGAGATTGTTCCTGACAGCTTGTTTTCTTTGCCCTGACCTACATAGTCAAAAAGAATCTTGTTGCACATTTTTGTTTTGTACCTTGAGGTCTCGGA